TATAAGGAGAGTCTTCTGTAATAAAAGCTTCTGATTGGCATCCCTTTGATCTTCAATACATTCCTTCAGGACAGAAATGCACTATCTCCTGTAAGAACTGCTCTATTTATTTCTTCAGTTCCTTCATTTACTGCATGGGATCTTTTTATTAGCCAATGTTAGAGCCACTTCAGTATAGATTCAAAATTGGCTGTAAGTTAACGCTGGAGGAACATTATGGAGAATGTCAACTGTTTCATAGTATCATATGCAGTCTATTAATATTGCTTTCCTACAATCCTCCCAAGTCACAGATAGTATACACATGAAATTTCACATATCTAAGTTAGAAAAATTCTTTGAAAGCAGCCCTGTACATTACAGGCTTTTTTTGCTGAGCCATAGCAATGACTAAGCTATGGGAAAAGCCTCCATTCAGCTATAGTGTAAAGGAAAATGTGGGTGGGGGAACTGGGCTTTCAGGGTCGAAGTCATTCAGCACTTGGGTGGCAATGTTGCAAAGAGGAAAAAGGAGGATTCAGCCTTGCAGGCCTGGGATGGGAGGTTTTTCAGATTTCCCCTCCGCAGCTGTCCCTCTGGGGCTGAGCAGGAGACGGTGTGAGAGAGAGTGTCATTATTTGACTCAGCATGTTCCTAAGCCACAAAAGAGAAGTGACGTATATAAAAGGCATGTTGCTCGCTCTTATCTGATAAGAGGGATATCAAGGAGTTTTCTCCACTGCCTAGACATAAAGGAAGTTCTTCTTTGTCCTTATATTTCACTTTCTCTGTCAGTATGCCTTTCGTCAAGCAATTATTGTACGCTTATAGCCTCTAACACAAAACTGAAGACCACGGTTTGAGAGACATGATATGCAACTACCTCCTACCACATTGCCAAATACCTATCGTTTAGCTTCCCATTCTAATTACTGTGGCAACTTTAAATGCATCATATCTGAAATCAGCTTTAATTTAGGAATATTCCAGATAGAGCCATCTCACCTCCCATGAATTTGGTGGTTTGCCTCCACCAAATCCATGAATTATCCTGCTGGAACAATAAATTAATAAAGTCTGCCATATTTCTGTGATGCTTCTGGAAGAAAGTGACAATGCTTCACTTACTACTTACTGCTGAAATGGTCTCTGGTATTACTGCACCGCCATTCTTTCATACAGTAGGTTTCACTGTAAAATATGAAGTGGTCTTCACTGCAATGAGCTTTTCACATAAAGAATTTTTTATCTCCTCTAACAGCATAAACTGCCTTTTGCAGTGCAGTGCTGTACAAGGTTTATTTTGTTAGAGCCACAAACAGCACACAAAACCTGCCAGCCATCACTGGACTCAGTGGACAGCCATCCACTACTTGGACTCAGTTTGCAAGATCATTAAGTAAACCTAAATGTAAAGGAATAATCACAGAATAATAACATAACAGCTTTGCTTAAACATGAAGCTTGCGATGACTCAAACTCCTCAAAACAGTGCTTACCAGGCTTGAGCTTGGTTTGGTGGATTTAAAACTGCCTTTGTCTGCCACTATAATTTCTTTATTTCCCAAAGCAACAGGATCTCAGGACTGTCCAGGCTAGTAACATGCTAAGCCTCATGATTATCTCACTCTTTTGTTATTCAGATTTTATCTCCAGAAACACCACTGTTTTAGGACCTGGTCGCTGCATTAGATGTATAATTATTACGAGTTTATAAAAAAAAAAGATGAAAATTAAAATGGTTGTTAGACACAAAGGTATGATTCTGCTATGGAGTTGTAGTGCCTCATTATATGTGGCATTATATACGAGTATCTGAAAATGACTCCCCAAGTCATAGCTATATTCAGAATGCAGTTACGCATACTCTCATCAAGCAAATCACCAAGGACAAAGAAAAATGCAATGTTAGTCTATAATAGGTGAAGCATTTCTAGTCGATATGATAAGATATTAAAGCCAATTCACAATGTGGCTGTACCATGACAGGAACCAATGCCCTCTGTGTTGCCCCTTCAAGCCCTGTGTTTCTGAAAATACACATACAGTCATATTGCACATTAACTGAAGTTCTTTAGTGGTCCTGAAGTTGTCTGGTCAATGCAAACAATCTGCAGTGATATCAAAATTACTAATGCCAACCATCTAACGAGGACACAGCTAATACAGCTGTACTTCACATCCAAGTGGAAAGCTTCCAACCTATCAATCAAATGAAAATGCATAAAATAAAGGCTGACAGGGCTACCACAATCACCTAGAGTAGCTGGGCTCAAAGGAACTTCTAAAAAAAAAATTGCAGTTGAAATATTGAAAATAAAAAGCAGAAGTAGACATTATCATCAACCTACTCCTTGACTATCAATACTTTTAAGAGTATATTAGAAAACTGGACTGAGACTACAATGCATGTTCATCCAAGTGACTTGTCAATAATCTACAGAGGAGATTAAGGTTCAGTTATCATAAAAAAGAGCAGAGCTAAGTACCCTCTTCATGTAAAGAACACCACTATCCAAAATAATATCTCCATCCTCTCAGCAGACTCACTGAGGCGTTGAACAACAGATTAAAAAAAAATCCGTTTTGCAAAGCTTCACATGAATGGGATGGGTGGAGGAGGGGAGATAAAAGTAAGTATTGGTCACAACATAGTTTCTCATACAAATATGCTGCTGATTTCCATTAATGAACCTTAGCTATAAACTGACACAACTTCTGAATAAAACCAATCCAGATGCTCCCTACTTCACAGTCCAGCTGGGCTGATTATCTAAAATTATTTCAAGACATGTCCATTAACAGAAATGATAATTATAAAAAAATAATCACACTACCTTTTCGTCAAGATATTAACTTTTAGACTATGAAAAAGTAGACTAGAAAAAAGTATTATTTTTCTTACTTACTTCAATTCTCATTTTTCTGGATTTCTGATCTATCAAGTGTGATTAACTATTCTTTCACCAGGAGAGATTTTGTGTGTGCATGCATGGGAGTGTGTGTTATGTGCATCTACACATACACCTGTAAAATCTTTAAGCTATCCATTTTCCGAAAGATTAAAAATGGCTTAAGCACATAAATAGCATACAATGAATAATCATTTCTATACAGAAAACAAACATGCTTGAGTATGCCGGATAGAGCTCTCATCAGCTTAAATGCTCATTTTGAAATGAATGAGAAATAAGTGCTCCAACTTGACCACCTAGATTCACCCAGCAGACAGAAACATATAGATGCACTTTATATGATGTCAGCATATTACACAGACTACCATTTTAGATAAAGGTGACACCAAACTGAAGTCCAGACACCATGTAGATTTTGTAAAGCACTTCCAAAGCCATCTGAAGTCTTCAGACTTCCAGACGCAAAGACTGAATTTGGAAGACACTTGAGCATCTTTTTATTCACCACAGTGAAGGTGTCCAAGTGACTTCAACTACCCTCTGCTAATTCTACACAGGAACCTTTTAATGGTGATACCACAGTGTTGATAACCATTTATTAACGATAATACATAGGTTCCATTTAAAATATTTTTTTCCTCCTTGTGGTGAAATATTAGGTACAATGATTTTGAAATCAACTGCTTCCTAGAGCTGGCAGTCAGTAAGTCCCCAGTGCCTGTAGAGAGCCTTACTGAGAACAGTGCAGCTCAGTGAGAGTGACAGAAACTGGGCTTGGGCTGAAGGCAACTAATCTAAAAAGAGTATACTCAAGAAGATTACCCTTAAATACCTTTAACCTCAGTGGAAGTCGTTTAGAAAGAAGGCAACTGCAGAAGTCTTCATAACAGAACATTCCCTACTAGCATTCCTGGAAAAAAATTCCTTTGCTAATGCATCTCTTTTAGATATTAAATAAATTTCCTCAAAAGCAACATACATACTTAATTACAACAGGCATCAATCTTTATGGAAATAATGAGACTCTACCTTACTTCTTAATACAGATAATTCTGCTGGTTTTATTTAGGCTTTACATTTTTCTGAAGTGTGCACTTTTGTTTGGATTTCATGCAAAAGAAATCCATTTCTACATTCCCAAAAGAATTCTCATGTCACAGTACCATGGAAGGGACAGCATTAACTTGCAAAACTAACCTCAAGCCTAGCTGCTGCAGAATGTAACTGAATGCGTTTAGTTGCCGTAACCACTGGACCACCGCTGCAAAGTGGTAACGTCCCTTCGGACTCACCAGCATTTAGTACTTGATCTTCCAGTACTGCTCCCATCTGGGCAATGGGCATGGTACAGGGATCCACCTCTCCCAGGGCAATGCATCTCCCTGCAACTGCACTTTAACCCATCAGTGGATGTACTCTCCACAATGCTGTTGAAATATCTGGTACTGGTTCCAAGTACATATAAAGCAAACAGCTGGCTTAAATGCTAAGATGAGCTTTTACTCATAGCTGTCGCAGAAATCAAGCTAAGAATGTAAAAGTGGCAGCTCAGAGACATCAGGAAGAACTAGCTAGCAAACATCCCTTGGAGTCATAAAGTAGGATAAATACATATAAGTTCTGAAAAGAAGTCCTGTCATATTTCTCCAGCACAGTACAGGAGAGCTTCAGATGGACTGGAGACATTTGTTGCTTTAAGAAACTGAAAAAAAAAAAGCAGAATCTTTGTTTACCTAGGTCTGTGGTTTCTAAGTACCTACTTCTTACTACGTTCATTTCTTGACTCAAAGTGAAAATAGGAATTCACCCTTTTCTCTTTTTTTCCTGTCCAATGTGCAGATGGGGCATATTTTCATTCACTCCATCAATCCCTGCCCCCTACGCACAAACTCGCATACATGCACCTAGCCAGTGGAAAAGAAAAAATGGTTACTCATTAATCCATTCTACAAAGCTTTCCAAACTGAAATGGGTGGGTTTTACATCTCCAGCAAGGAGCAATATATAGGTAGGTACGCAGCATACCTGAGCACAGCTAAAACTGAAGTGTTCATCTTGAATAGCGTAACTTCGCTCCTGGCACATTTTAAACCAAAACTCATCACTATGGAGAGGATGATTATCTTCTGTATGCTTTTCTTCTGTTCCAGTATGGCTCTGACTGCAGCGCCACACAAAATAGCGAAATACAAACAACTTTTAAAGACAATTGAACGGTTAGAAACCACAGTGAGAGATAAGGTAAGCAAAGTATTTGTCATAATACTGAAATTATTTTCAAGCATTACGTATTGCTTAGAATGTATCTTGTGATCACTTTAAAATGTTAAACTTTTCTAACTTAGGTTTGTTTTATTGTAGGATGTTGAATTGCTGCATACACCAGAAAACCCTGTGGTAAGAATGCTTTAACATTTCCTTCTCATGATATCAATTTGATTTTGTGCTGGTTTATTCCACTGTCAAATGGCAGATGACTTCTTTTTCACACCTCTGACCTAGTGTTCTTAGTGCAAGCTAGATTGAAAAAGAAAATATTTTCATACAAGTTCCTTATTTTTGGATTTTTAATTGCAGAAATGTTTATCACATAATCTTAACTACTATTTTGCTAACACCTGTGTATTCCAACATACCCACAGATTCAAATGTGTATGTATTCTCTTTATTCAAGAAATGGTGCTAAGAGTGAAGATTCATACAAGATCTAGACCAGCTGCAGTGCTCTTGGGGATGCAGGTTTTGGGAGTGGAAGTGCCTTCAGCTGCCATGAGCTCCAGCCGCACTGGGAGCATTGCTGAGCCAAACTGAAAGGGACCCCCCTTCCCTCCCACTGAAGCTAAGTGCCAAGAGTGGCACTTTAAGGCCACATTATATAGAGCTTCCTCGTACCTAGTCACACTGGTGGCTCTGATACTATGTATGTGCAAGGGTTGTGCTATCAACAGGAAGATAAGACTGCATTCTGCAATTTTTATTTTGATTATAACTACTTAAAATTACAAGAACAAGTTCCTGTGAATCCCTTTTTAATACAGGCTTTTATTTATACATTATTTAATGCCAGTGTTCTGAGCATTCCAAGGTCAGGAACTTCTTATATGCAGTAAATTACACTAGAGTCAAAGAAAGGGTGTGCATACTCAGAAGTGACAGAATGCAAGATTTAGCATGAAATTAAATGCTAATAATAATATTAGCAACATGTCTTAAAAGCTTAGAAGGTAAATGTGCGCTGCTTTCTTTTGATAATCCCCAACATGCAACAAAGGTCTAGAGCTAACCACAGCTAATCTAATGTTACATTTCTCCTGTTACCAGCTGTCTTAAATTTACCCATAATGTTGATTTTTTGAGCCCTGACAACTATTTCAGAAAGCAAACAATTTTGATTGATGTATAAAATTATCATTATGCATAGTTTTCTGAAAAATGCCCAGAGTGTAAAACTATTTACTCAGGACTGTAAACTTTCTTGCAAAATAACGACAAGAAGAAAGGGAAAAAACTCACCTCATTTCACACAGCCTTCTCCTAGGCTTTACAGTTGAGTACATGTTTTACTTGCAAAAAACATGTAGAAGCATGACCAAAACAGATACATTCCATCTCACTGCTAGAAACAACTGCAGTACAAAAACCTAATGCACCCTAACAAATTGCTGGTTTTTTTCATTAACACTCTTAATTTGTGGTGTCAAAGTGAAAAGGAGGAGATGATTAGCTGTCATTTTACTGCAGTGTTTGCCACTACCTCCAAAACGAAGCAAATGCAACTAGTGACTAATCACGTAATCAGTTTGTTGTTTGGGTTTTTTTTCTCTCCAAAAACATTGACACCTCAGGAAGGAAGACATCAGTTCATTTGCAACTTAGGGCTTTATAATCTGGTTCTGGAAGGTCCCAGGTACCCTCACTGAAAAGCCAGAGAATAGAGAATTCATGAATTTAGAAGGTACTAAGTTGATACAGGTTCAAGCTCTGATGAAAAACTTAAAAAAAATATTACTGTGCTAGTAATAATTACCACCAGCAACCATGTTAACAAACTTTTCATCCTGCAGGGTGAAATGCTAAAATATAAATTACAGTGTGCCAAAGCTGTACCCAGGGTGATAAGGTGCAATCACACCCTAATGAAATTGGATTTAATGAAATGTTTTTCATGTAATTGTATTTCAAATGTCAAAATATTGCTTCAGTGATAATGTGCTTATGTCAGATTTACATTTGGGCTTGAATATTCAGGAATAAGACTACCTTTTACAACATTCAAAATTCAGTGGTTTATCACTATTTGTTTCTACTTCCTTGAACTTCCTGTGAGTGGACTGAATGTTAGCCCCAATTCAATCCCACACAATTTCTTGTAGACTCAACAATGAAGTATCTTTTCTTTTTTTTTAAAAAAAAAAGGAGATGAGAAGATTAATAGCTCAGAGGACATCAACTCCAGGGAAAACATGCTGAGGTTGAAAAAGTAGTCTTGAGGCTGAGCTGATCAAGACTAGAGGGAAAAAAAGATCTGTTGCTGGTGATTAACACTGCAGCTGAAGCCACTGACACAACGCTGATTTACATCAGATCAGCATCTAACCCCACTGATCGCTAATTCAGGAAGTAAAGACCTTTCAGGCTAATCTCTTAAATTAGTTTGAGTCAGATGCAGACTATTGATGCAAATTGCCTCTGAAACAAATATTTTACAAGTTTGCCTAACCCCCCCAAGCATTACCGGTGGTCTATGGTTTTAAATGTCTCTTCATCAATGTGCTTAACCCATCACAACATACCAAAACCCATAATCCTTGTGGTCCTCTGACTGTTGGCCTGCCTACAGGTAACTGTTAGCTCAGCAAAATGAAAAATTAAAAAAAGCGGCATATATGAGAAATGCTGGTTTCTCAGCTCATCACGGAATCACGGATGAGGCAGAAAATGTTTTCAGTTTCAGCTGGAAAATTGGTATTTTTAAAAACTAGTGTTTTTTTTCCAGTAAGCAAGACTGGTTACGGTAAGAAGCTTGAAACAAACATAAATGTGCAGTTTTTAAGAAAAATAAAATGTTAAATCTAACCAATATAAAATGTTGCTATTAAAATTGCCTATAAGCATCATACACAAAGGTTGCCTTGTCCTTGCCAAAGCAGCAGTAGCATCTCATCTCAGATGAGATTCAGCTTTGGTAGCAGTTGGTATGCAAAACAGGGGTGATGGCTTTGGAGCCTTTCTAATGTCTGTAATCAGCAGTTTTAAATGTTTCCTTCCTTGGAAAATAGAAAGCAAGTTAGAAATCAGCTTCCATAAACACTGCTTTGCTTTCTCTGTTGATGATAGGTTAGTTTTGGTGACATTTTCCATAGTTACGTGCCTAGCAAAGGAAAATGGCTACTGTGCAGGAAAGGAGACTCTGGAGAGCTTGTAGTCTTTCTGTTAGCATCAGTAAAATTAATATGCAGCTGCACCATGAAAGGAAAAAGGCAAGTTGTTTTAATTCCAACAGCAATAGAAAATTTCAATCATCAGAATAGATGGCTACTTTTTCACATTAAATACAGATGCTTACTAGCCTTGACTTAGGTTTAATGTAACATGGGAAGACAATTCAAGCTGCCTCTCATCCTCAGTCCATCTTTTCCCTTTAGTAAGGTAACTAACTTACTTCATCCTCTTAATTTTCCTTGCTATCAAGAGAGAACATTTAAATGGTATTTGAAAATATGCAGTTCTATGTCAATTCTAGACATAATTAAGTAGCTAATACTAGAAAGAGCACAAAAATTAGGGGGAAAAAAGTACGCCCCCACATGTAGCACTGAGTCTAGAGTGATATTCAGAATTTTTAAAAAAGAAAATACTTATGCCTGTGCTTGTGGAAACCTACATGTAACACAGTCTACACTTCAGTAGCATTTTCTTTCAATTGTTGTCATGATTAATATCCAAGTGGACATTTCAGGCACTTATTTTATGAGAAAATACTTAAGTAATTATCAAAGAACAGGCAGAGTAAAGGTTAAAGTCCTCTTGCGTATCTAAAACTTAAAAAAAAAAAAGAATACACTTGGATCTTCTCAATTAATATTTTGGATAATTAATTTTGCACATGGACCACGAACTAACACATGCGGGAAAAAATGGTGCAACACTCATTTTAAAACTGTTCTTTCTTTTCCTGCGCTAGGACGGATGCGTGTTCACAGCTATGGCCTGCTTCCAGAATGGCACACTGAAATTACAACCAGAAAACAGCCAAGTAAACTCTACATTCACCCATACCATTAAAGTCTTGAAACGATTAATCTCCATTAATCCTGAAAAGGTAGGATTTCCTCACAAAGTCGCAATTGTGATCATTGCTCCTTATTTTCTGTTACAGACACCACCTGCAATAGTAGAATTGTAGAAAGCAAAATTTATTAGAAAAACTGATGTCTCTCACTACTTTGGAAATTAAACATGATAACAACCCTCTTGATTTTTAAGTAAGGAATCTAGAAGTATTAGTTATGATTTGGGTGCACTGTTTAGAAGTGGCATGATCTTCTTTATCTTCCAACAGTGTGAGTCTTCATGTGAATCTTACGAGAAAAAAACTCCCAAAGAATTTTTGAAGAGTTTTGCAAAACTAATCAAAAAAGGTAAGAGTTGAGTTCTTTTGGGTGCTTTTTGAAATTTTGCAAGCAATTAGGGATATCATTATTTTACACTATTTCTAACAATGTGTTGTTTTCACAGTTATTAAAGGACTAATATAAGATACGCCAGAGCTGAAGGCTACTGAAATTCTATTTAAAGCAGACACTATGTTATTTAAGACAACGTGAAAAATGTAAATATTTTCCATTGCTACTATGCTGTGCTGTGTGTGTGGTAAGTGAAAGCTTTTCCCAGAATATGAAAGACTTTTATTTGGATTGCTATTCGTAAGATGGATGCTGCTTTGAAAGTCATCCTAGCCTCACCTTACAGTAAAAATTAAATTATAATTTCACAAAAAAAGGTTCCCTTAAGAGACTTAACTATCACCTTCTGCTGCACTAGAAATATATGAGATGGCTACTCTTGTATTTTTGCTTTGATCTTAAATGAATCTCATACAAAGATGTCCGAAAATTTTTAAAGAAAACAAAAAAAAATTATCAGAGGCTCTGAAACCTCAAAAGGTGTCTTCTTGGACCAATTTCCTTATCTGCAGGAATACCACACACACAATGTTATTTATAAATTCTTGGACTGTATCTTAGCTAACTATGCTACATTTACTGGAAAAACATTTACAAATCACACAGTATGGCACAAGTCTGACCTGTGTCCGCACATTTGCCATGGGTTTCAACAGGGAGAGCAGTAACCCACATGCTTGAAGTGGAGATACAGGATTCTGTGGGGAAAAACACATTTTAGACAATGGAATTCCACTCAAATAATCTCCCTCAAATAAATACAGCAGAGGCATGACTAGCTGGCATGAACAGGCACTGAAAAGTAACTGACGATTATTCAGTGTGAAGCAGCTCAAATGCATATTGCTATTTGTCAGAAGATGGTATTTTACACTCATATTCATGTACCTTTAACACTATTCCTTCTCTCTACTCTTGAATCATTCTAACGGTTTAAGTTTTAATCACATTTTTTTCTTTAAAAACTGCCAAGTTTTTTGTTATGTGGAAACATGCCTGTAGAGCTTCCGATTCCTGAACATTTCTGTGGAGCTATGGCCAGAGATATCAATGAAACTTTTAAAAATAAAAGTGAGTATCATAGCACTGAAAACTACTTTTTAGCAGCTTAATTACATACCACCATATTGCTTGCAATGATTCTGTAACTCTAGACTCTTTCATCTGAGAAGTAGCTGTTAATTTACCCCCAAGCAAATATTAGCACCACACGAGGAAACTGATCTTGGAAAAGAGTGTAAAGTCTTCCAGTAAAAATTCATCTTTCATCTAATTTCTCTCTACTTAGTAGAAATGTGGTATAGAGAGGAAACTGGAAAACTACATCTTGTGTTATGGTGGAAAATAACAAGCTTAGTTACCTCCAAAAATAATGAGGTAGTATTAAAAATATTTCCATTCCCACCAATGTCTGCATAAAAGAAAACTAATACAAAAACCTTTTTTGCCTCCACATTTTTGCTGTCCTGAAATGTGAACTTCCTCCAAAATGTATGTCAGAGGAAGAAGGAAGATCTTCAGGGCAACAACAAACCAAGTTCCCATGATGAACTCTCCTTGTTTCTGGTGATGACCATTTCTATTTAGAATTTTTTTTTTCACTCAAAATATTCTCCCCCATACCTCAATGTTTCCCCATTACTGCATGAGAATTAACATTCTAAACATGAACTATCAGTCAAATTTAAAAGTAGCGAAACTACTAAGTTTAAACTACGTTCTGCAACTTTTATCCCCAATTCTCTGACTTTGCTATGCAAAAAGTCCCTTAATCACCCATTGGTAAGCAATATGCAAAACTACTGCTGCAACTGCAATGGATTTTGAAGGTACAGAAGTAGAGAAATTCAGGGGGAAACTTAATTTCAGATTCGGATTAAAAAAAACCTAGGAAAATATTAAAGCAAGTCCTGCAATTGCAGAGTACCTGCTGAAGTTTCCACAATGTTACACTTAATTTTCTATGGAAGAATTTAACTGAATGCCTCTTTCATGAACGAAGTGCTTTTTGTGGTGAGTCCCAGAAGGCCAATCAATAAAACAATGCTTTTCATTCATTCACTTTCATGGAATGTTTGCATGCAGAGTTTTGGAGAAAGATCTTTATTTTTGTACAAAGAATACAGTATGTATTTTTTGATTTGTAAATGTCTTTTCCAGTAATTCACTAAGCACATTCAAATCAATATTCTAGAAGAATCTGTTAAAATTCTTGTTGTGCAGATGAGCTGTGATTAGCATGCTGTAACAAAGAGAACATTGTTCATTACATATTTATTAATATTAATGATAAATCCTTGAGAACCAACTTTTGTACCTAGGATGGATATTTTACAGCAAAAAAGCCATTTCCTACCAGAATGTCATAAGCTAACTAGTTACTACTGCCTGCACTGGAACAATTTCTGCATTTTGTACACGAGGCAGCGTGTAATGCAGTAAGTAATGTAGCTATTTCTGTTTAGTGACTTGCTCCACTGTTTTTAAACTATGGATCATATCACACCAAGCATAGTGCTGAAGGGAGGGGTTTGTTGTTGTTTTAAACATAAATTATTAATTTGTTAATTGAGACTATTTTTTGTACCAGCAGAACAACTTAATTGAAAATGCTCATTCATATGCTTCAAAAAACTAGTGAGAAACTGTAAAAAAATGTAACTTAGAGAGCTAATTGTTCTGAGATCTTGGAGAAAACTATTTATTGGACAATCCAGTCCAGATACGTATAGGGAAAATTAATCACAAAATTATCACAGCTTATTTTAGTTAACACCACAGTTCTGGGCAGTGTCAGTACAATCACTGTGGGCAACATTGTACGCTCCAAACACAGTCTGACTTAGACAATGCTGAGGCCTCGTGCCAAGTTTTTGATTTGTTGGAGTTATGAAAGGTTGAGTGCATTATTCAGGGTGTGTTATCTGAATCCCAAACGAAGAACAAGAAATCAGTGAAGGACACATCAGTCTTCTAGAAGATGTCATCTTGTTCTCTGACACCATTCTCAGGAAAAGAAAAAAAAGGAGCTGTCCCAGGAGGAACTTGTGACCCTACGAAGGACTTGTAATCATAATTCCAGATGTGTACACAATCTTGACTTGTAAGATGAACTCTCTTTGTACTAACTGCACTCTCTGCAGTAACAATGTATGTGTCATTAACTGAGGACACAGAGTAAGCCATAAAAGCTCATTACCTCCCAGGGAGGTTTTACAATGTATTTATGATTTTGTCGTCAGTGCCATTTGCAGGCACTTCAGGATGTGTTTTACCATGGTAGAAACAATTCTGTACATTATTTACTTTTCCTGAGAAGATTCTTTATTTTTATAGCAATTTATTAATCTAATTTAATTATTTATTGTATTTCTGTGAATGGAATGTTCGTACTAAGGACTATGTAGTCTGATTTATTTATACAACTGTGATATTAAATAATTTCAGCTAATATGACTTTCTCTTGCTCTTTTCCTTAAAAAGTTCTGACCATTCCTACCCTGACAGTGGTCCATAAGATCCCACAGTGAACTTTATTCTTTATGAGCCTACACTGTCATAGATTTTGCCACATCTGATCAGGGACTTGGTATACAAAGTTTATCTTCACCCTGTAAGTAATGAGTGCATGGTAGCTCAAGAGAAAGAGAAGTCATTCTTATTACATCTTACACATGAAGTCTCTACTGCTAAAGGGTATCTTCCAGGGGAGCATGGTGTTCAGCCCACAGCTGGCTTACATATGCCCATTTACCTTAAATTTACAGTCACTAGTTTAGGTTGCACCATTACTAGTGTCAAAACAAATATGCTTACAGTATGTCAAATAAACATTATTTTATTAACTTAAAATTAACAATTAATTGCTTTTATATAACCATTAAGAAGACATTGATTTTATATTGAATTTCAATTTAAGATTGAAAAATCCTTCTTAAAAATTCTCTTTTCAGACTTAAAAAATTACTTTAGGCAACGTCACAGCAGGTTCAGTCATATCACCTAGATTTCTTTAGACTGACATGAACAAAAATCAAGTGACTTCATATTTTGAGCCTACACAGAATAAAGTTAAACACCTGAAAACGTAACTCTAGTAGTAACAATGATACAGTCTGTTTTCCACTGTTCTCTCTTATCTTACTTTTCTCTTGCTTTGAAATATCAATCCTTTTTCCCATCCCAATTTGATAGCATGTGTTGAAGTTCTCAGAAAATTAGTATTTTAAGCTATTTTAACTTTATAAGGGTAGCTATGTTTTATCTTTTATAAAAGTGCCTTTTCCCTAAAAAAAATGGACCTTGTTGCAACAAACAAGCACAAAGCTCTAACAAAAGCGAAGACTACACAGTTGGACAACTATTCCTTCTCTTCTTATCTGTTCAGAAAACACTGACTCAAATAGTATCTCCTTCCATTATGTTCCTTGTCATCACACATCTGCATTTGTTGGGCCTGATTTTCTTTAGGAAAAAATCCTTCAAAAACAAATAAAGACAAAGAGGAAGTGTCACGAAACATTGAGAGACTCACTCCTACCTCCAGGACAGAGGTCGATGTGAAGGACAATATTGCTATGATCCATCTCCTAGAAGAGAAGCAGTCCTGCTCTGCCCAGTAGGTATTTTCCTCTCAAAAAAAGAGCCAGCAGACTGACTCCCAAGGAGCTGGATGTGCCAGTTGCCACCTTTTGGCTCCCAAATAGTTCAGTGGTGGCAGACACCTGAATTTGCAGCCTAGATCACCCTGTAAAAGTGTTTGGAGAGAACAGCAAAAGGATAGGATCTAATCCAGGCAATCCCTCCTACCTCTGCACACAAGAAACCAGTGGGAGTAAGGTATGCTGGTCTTCACCCAGAGTTAACTATTAGTCAAATCTGAGGCATCTGTCCACTTAATGAAGAGAAGCAGACATACTCAGGAACAAGTCATCCCACTCCAAACTAGCTATGTA